CGCGCGCACACACACACACACACACGCGTGTACGTGACAACACGCGACGGTGATCAAGCTTCGAGCAGTTCAGGCAATGCCATTTACGGTGATGTCTTGCTGTATCGATCTAATCGTGTCATTTCCTTGTGCTGCTACTAGTCGTATCTCTTGTCCTAGTTACTCTGCTTGCTGTTCTGTTCCGGTGCCGTTACAATCCGGGCCTCGGCCAAAAGAAGCCGGGCACACCATGGGGTTCGTACCATAGAGCGGCTGCCGGCCACCAGGCCAATGAGCAACAAAAGCCTGCTCCAAGCAGAAGGCCGCACAGAATGTTTCAGCCTCGCGGATTCTTTCTCTTCTCCCTCCTTGGAGTTGAGGAAAGCCATCGCGACCAGCCCATGCCTCGGACGGGGACGCAGGCGGAAAGCAAGTCTTAGACCCGTACCTAGGCCCCCGCCTTGAGACAACACTGCGTAAACACAACAGACACATCCTGTTACAGACTCCCAACGATTCTCAAGCCACTCTTCACGCTTTCCCAAATCCCACCCGAGCTCAGACTGCTGCTGCGCTGCCAGGGGCTCGACATCTTGCCACAACCTTCCAATGGTTTGCAAAAGTCTTTGACATCTTCGCGAAGATCAGCTATGAGGAGCTACACCTGTCAGAAATGCCGGACATTACCATGTACAGCCGGTCGTTACACAGCAAAGCAGTCTTCCGACACCCAACAGGGCGCACGCGGCAAAATGATGAGCACGCGAGATCAGAAGCACGGCCACCCCGGTCTCCTTCGCCTCCGAATGTCAAGAGATGACACATGCGCACCGAGCACAGCCGTCTGCCTTCTCCACAAGCATTGGATGCCCTGCTAAGCACCTCAAGAACACTTGCCACTTGCATGTTACTTCAGCGCCAAAGCCTTCGAGAAGAAGACGCCGGAGTGGAAAAGCCGCCCCTGGCAGGACGCACCCAACGCGCCCGCAGGGCGGCCCCGCGCCCCGCATCGCCCCGCCTTGCATCTGCCAGGGCACAGGAAGGAGCGAGGCTCCTCACCTCTCAGGCCCGGCCCAGTCTAAACCGCGAGCGCGCCTGCGCGAGCCGCGAGCCTCCGGCAGCACATCGCCCCTGACCTCACAGGTGCTGCCCTGCCTGACTTGTACGTAACTTCAACAAAATTTTGCCCACCTTGCCGCTCCGCAGAGAGGAGCAGTAGCCCGGAAGTCGAAACAGCCCATGAGATTTGCACCTTTGACAGAAGTTCTCTCTCGTACGGTTCTGCATTCCGCTGGCTGCAATTGCAGGCTTCCGGCCCGTCTTGCTCGGCTCTGGTGATATTTGCCTCCGATCGAAAGGGGTGCACGGGCCATGCAGTCCGGCCGCAATTGAACCGTTTTATATATCCAGCAGCTGAAAGAAACGTCTTGTGCAGAAACATCTTTCGAAGCGATCACGAGCAAAAGCGGTCGTCCTTAAGCGTAGCGCCTCATGAAGTCGGTGTGAAACTGGGCAAAAGAAGCCATGGCGGTCCTCATCTTCTCGAGTGTTGGGAGAAAGGTTGTTCGAAAGTGGAAGGTGCCCTGAAGCTGCCTGAAGCCAGAGCCAGGGACCACCACCAGACCTGTGGTCTCCAGCGCCTGCATGCAGTAGAACTCGTCTGGGGCAACGCCTTGGGCTTCCGCTGCTTCGATGGCCGCTTTCGGAAGCTTCACTTGCGGGAAAGCATACATGGCCCCGCCAATCTCTTGCAAAGAAATGCCCGGAAGCGAGCTCAATGTCTTGTGCAGAATCTGTGATTTCTGTCGCAGAGAATCGAGGACAATCTGCTTCTCCTCTTCATACAGAGCTGCTGCATCGGCACACGGTGGTCTGACCATCAAGCCAACTGACAGTTGTCCAACGGTGTTGGAGCAAAGCTCAACCGACTTTAATTTCACGAACTGCTCCATGACTTCGGGATCGAAGTTCTCGAAGACACAATAGCCTCCTCGGACACCACACTCCCCGAGAAACCCTTTAGACAAGGAGTGGAAAGAGGCGATCTCTAAGTCAAGCTGTTTCTCTCGCACGATGCTGGACATGGACTTGAATGGATGAGCAGTCAAGATATTCTCTTGGTACACCTCATCTGCCAGCAATACCAACCCTTTTTCGTGTGCGAAGCTCACCACCTGCTCGAGCGTCTCTGCTGTCAAATTGTTGCCGGATGGGTTTCCCGGATTGATGACAACCAATGCACGCACGACTACTCCGCGCCTCGCAGCTTCCTCATATGCTGCTGTCAGGGCTGGGACGCTGACGGCCCACCTGTTCTCTTCATCCAGGTAATATCCCACAAGTTCACAGTCCATCAAGGTCGACAAGGCTGAATAGAGAGGGTACTGGGGGATAGGCGCCATAATTCCAACCTTTCCGAGATGTGGTGCGGCCAGCGCAGACATCAGCAGCCTCACGCCTTCACTAGCTCCGTTGGTTAAGAAGACCTGGCTGATATCAGGCTTGTGGCCGTTCCCGTCGCGGCGTGCGATGAAGTCACAGACTTCCTCTCTAATGAACTGGAATCCGACAGAATCTGTGTAGGCCCCAACCTTGGCACTTTTACTGGAGTATTCTCGGGCGCGTTCTGCTGCCTCTGCTGAAACAAGGTTTAAACGCACGAGGTCATCCGCCTTTTCCAGCAGGCGGGGTGCTGTCAATAATGCAAGCACCTCCCTGTTGAAGGACAGAGGAACCTGTCCAACTTGCTGCGGGTTACCTATGTTGCAATGCACCAGCTCTGAGAATGGATATTTGGCGCCGTTTGCAAGTTCTTTTTGGATCGCAGCTGCTCGGGTGGGCAATCTTCCACGCACGGCATACTCTGCTTCCAATACCTTCTGATTGATGGTGGCTCGTGTCAAGCACTTGAACCTCAAGGAGCCCTGCAAAGGCCGAAGGCCATGACGCATGGAATCGGTGAAACCCAAAGCCCAACTCAGGGCCCGTGGTGTCTGCCTTGCTCGCATTTTCCGACAGGCAGCAGCCATGGCAAGGCTGGTGCTGCCCTTTCTGGGGCCTACCGAATTTGAGCCCCTCTCAAACGTCCAGCCGGCAGAAGAAACTCAGCCCGGTATGCACAGACTCACTTATTCAACAACAGCCCGGCCGTAATTGCAGCTGCAGCTGTCTCGTTCAGCCCAGCTTGCTGCAGCGCCTTCACACGGCTGCATTGCTTTTTGGGAGGCCGCCACTTGCCCCCAACTCATGAAGTCTTGCCAGCCTTTTGGCAAAGTGCCTCGCAGTCGCGCCTCAGCTTGAACTGGCGAACGTACAACTTGCCATGGGAGCTTGTTCGAATGCACTCATCGAGAACGTCAGCTCCGCACAATGATATTCGTACTCTGCCCATGGTTTCTGTGAAAGGGGCAATGACTTGTTGTCTTTGGCTGGCTTGTTTTTGCGGTGTTCCAATGGTAGATATCATAAGGACGTGTGTCTTGTAAGCAGCTCGAAAGCCGTTGAAGCAGATCTGCAAAGCTCATGGGCAAAAGGCATTTACAAGCCTGAGATGGGTAGCCAACGATCAACAGAGCATCTTTGTCACCACAGCACGATACAGCGAGTCCTTGCCTTAAGCATAGGTCAAGCCGTCCAACCGCATTCTGTCTGGGTGGTACAAAGCACGATCCTTTAGAGCATGTTTGGGAACACTCTTGCTAAAACCTTTCTTGCACATGCTTGGAGCTGTTCTCGACTTGAGGCCTATGGCTATGAGCCGGCGAGATATCACCTCTGACTCGTCTGGTCCTCGCACTCCACAGCGGAGTGACGAGTGATGGAGCGCCACGGTGCACCTGCGCGCGAACAACAAATCCACGGTCTGCTGATGTATGCTGTATGCGTTTGTGTCCCAATCCTCTGCGCTGGTCAAGCCGGCAAGGACGAACTTTTTTGCATCCTCTACATCATACAGACCCAGCGATCCAACCAACAACTTTCTGCGCTTTCAGACCCGAGCCCGCTGGCTGCGCTCGGGCCGGACAATGCTTCAGCCTCCCACACAACACTGGTTCTTGTGGTGACACCCCAGGCCCACTCCCAGAATTGAGACCATTGAGTCAATCATATGCTGTCGAAGCAGCTCCAAAGCGGCCGAAGTCAAAGCGAGGAAAGTGCTTCACGCTTCTGACCGGTCTCCTTGCTTGACAGCATCGTTCACTGCCTACGCCCCCAACTGCACAGCTGACCTGTCGGCTCCACTGTGCGTCGCCAGCGTTGACGAGCTAGGCAAGGTGGCCTTTGCCAGTCATTTCTTGAGTCGTGCGGCGTCGTGCTGCCACGTCGTACGTTGGTCGCTCACGGTTGACTCGGGAGAGGCCGTGGACGTGAAGGAGAGGTGCTGCCTCAACTTACCAAACTCCAGATGCCAAATTCTGCCAAGGTCGAGGTGCATTGACAGTGCATTGAGGTGCCCGCGGTCGCTTAGCTCTCCAACCCTGCAGAGCGCAGTTTTTCAGACTAGGTCATAGCAGTTTTGCGATGATGCTGTAGATGCGTGTAACTGCGGGTATCCGGACGCGTAAGTCCTGAAAGTGTCAGTGTCGCAAGCTCTTTCCATGAGTATGTCTTAAGTATTTTGCCATGACTCTCCATAGAGACAACTTACAATAACTGCCGCGGGCGGGGGTTGTGGTCTGTGCCCGACAAAGCCGTTCAACGAGCCGAGTTAAACAAGCTCCTGGCTTGAAAGTGGGGCCTGTTGTGCGTGAAACCGATGCTATCTTGACGACCACACCAGTTCAGCGTGAAGACTTTGCACGTTTCATGAGGGCATAAGCGGTATCTTCAGAGTATTTTAACAGTCGCATGAATGGAGTGTCATGCACCAAGCTTGGATCTCGCCATCTTCGGAACGTCACTTATTGGAGATCAGGAGCCTTCGCGGTGCCAGCTGCCTGCAGGATGCCAAAGCGTCGGAAACACATCAACAAGTTTCTGCCCCATGCACCTCTCGCATGCGCAAAGAAGCGGCATCAGCCTCACAGCATGCTGGGCCATAGCGAGTGGAAAACGCAACGCCTTCTTATCAGGGCCTCATCTGCAAAAGCAGTTAATCGCTGTACAACATCCTGGCAGCGTTTCAATCGCACCAGAAGCTCTTCACTGATGAACATGAGTTCTGCCTTCCGTCGCTGCTCACGCCGCCTGACCTCTCTTCTTTCAGCCATACCTGGCATTGCTTTTGAATCCAGCAGCTGTCCAAAGCCGGTCGAGAAGAAGAAGCCGGCTTCTCCCTTCATCAGTCGCCGCAAAGCTTTGAATTCCTGCAGCAGCGACATTGCAATTTGCCCTTCGCCCTCCTTTCTCTCGCTTGTTCTGTGGCTTCTGCGCAGGTCCTTCTTGACCTCAATCAACTTCGCTACTCGAAGATTGCGATCGTGCAGCCGTGCCTGACGAGGCTCGTGAACCAAAAGCGTAATTTCGTTCTGGGGCATGCCGGCAGTCCTCTGCATTGTTTTGCTTGTTTGCCAGGGTTGCCTGCAGCTGTGGCGATGATCGCTAAGCAGTGCTGCCACAAGCGCGCGCACCTTGAAGGCATCGTTCGTCTTGCTTGCCATGGCATGTCCTCTAAGCCACCTTGAGCGGCGCTCAATCCATTGCCTCTCAGAGAACTTTCTCAGGCTGCACCCGCTGGGAATTCAGCTGAGCATTCCGCACCTGGAGAACTTCACTTTGGCCATGTCACGCATACGTCCAACGCGCTTCTTTACTTCCTCGCAAGCTCGCATGTTCCAGGAGGGGGCACTCGGGATTTCTTTCAAGTCTTGGACCACATCTCGCTCGGCCAGCTTCACAGTCGCCTGGTCTCCAACCGACGATAACTTGACAGAGAAAGTGCAGCTGGGCAAGGCAGCCTCATAACGAGCATCCTCTGCACGAATCTGTGCCTGGTGGACAGCCTGTCGACCGATTGCCGCAGAAATGCGAACGTGCTGTGGATTGCACTGATCGCCTACGCCTACTGCTTGTCTGCCTCGCGACGCTCATGCCAAGCATCACAGCCTGGACGTGGGCCACTTGGGGTCGGTCAAACAACACATTGCGCGCTTCCAGAGGCTGAGAACATCACGTCGGTACGCGTTGGTAAAGTTTCTCTCCTCTAGACATGGTGTCCGACGAAAGAAAATCACACACACAAGTAGCTCAATTCTCCCCTCAAGATGTCCGGGAGTGCGATCCCTGCAATGGAAGGATACGAAAAGCAGATGGGGCTTGGTGCGCGGACTCGCTTCCTCTTACTTTGGCTGTGCAGATGTGTGTGTGTGTGTGTGTGTCCAATTCCGCACCAAAGAGCATTTGCTGTCATGAAAAGTAATGCAGGGGGCCGGTGCTCTCCCTGGGGGTCACCGGCCAACGAGAACACCTTCAGGGAGGGTGAAAACGTACCTGCAAATCAGTAACCCTAGAGTGCGACTTCGTTGAAAGTGAATGAAGGATGCTGATCTTACTGTCAAGCATTGTCAAGCGTAGGAATGAGCCTTGTAACTAGCAATGTGAAATCTCTGAACTAACTTACCCATCTGATTTTCTGATCTGACTTGAGACCTGTGACACATTGCGGGTGAGGGATCAAAAAAAATTAAATAAGGATAAAAAATTGAAATAATGATCAAAAAAATTTAAATCACGTAAAATACAGCAATTCCTGGGGCAGAGGCATCAAAAGAAAATAAAACAGTGATCTAAAAAAATTAAATCACTCAAAATACAGCAATTCCTGAATTTTACAAGCGAAAAAAAATTTCCTATGGATGTTCTTTCATTTCCTTAGGCTCTGATTGGTTTTTCCTCGGGAAAACACGATTTTCCTACGGATTCCGTTGTATTTCCATAAATTTTCTTTTGTTTTTTCCTGGGAAAAACATTATTTTTCTATTACCTATGGCGTTCGTGTCATTCCTTCAGGTTTTCAGAAGGGAAACATATTTTTTCTTTGGTTGTTCCTCGGGAAAATCAGATTTTCGTTACAATTTCGCATTTAGGACGGATTTCGTTGTTGTAGCTGTTGCTGGGATTCCGCTTCATCACCGATCTTAAACACACCCCCTCATTTGGCGATTCTGGGGGGTTGGGGGGGGCGCAGCCCCCCCCCCATTTGCAGACACAACGCTCACATGATGGGCTTCGAAAACACTCTTTGAATCAAGCTTGCACGGCTCGAAAAGTGCGGCGGTGGGTCTTTCGTTCTTCCGTGCCTGTTCGTGTCTCTTCTTCCGCTAGCACTCTAACATAATATAACATAGTAAACCATAAGAACGGCATAAGATGGCTCGACATCACAAAAATAGTGTGACATTTTCTGACATAACAGAACCTTGCTTCTTATAGCATATAATCACATAGAAAAAGACGACAATACAATGTAACAGAAGATAACATAGAATAAACCAACATCTTAGTTTATAGTGTAGTACGTTGTAACATAGTACAATATAGTTTGTATATATACAAAATAATATTTGGCATATTATACAACATCAGGTCACATTATGTTATGTTATGTTATGTTCTGGTACATTACGATATTATGGCATATTCGATTGGACTATGTAGCATCCTATTGCTTGTATCTTTTTTTTTTTGTGATTATTTCTTGTTCTTTCTCTTTCGTCTTTTCCAACTTTGCTTGTTTATTCTGGATTTCTTTCTTTCTTTCGCTCGTTCATTTCTTTTATTTCTTTCTGTTGTTCTTCTTTATTCATTTCATACTCCCTTCCTTTCTTTCCTGCTTTCTTTGTTTGCATTTATTTCGTTATTTCTTTCGTTCGTTCTTTCTTTCGTTCTTGCTTTCGTTCTTTCTTTCGTTGTTGCTTTCGTTCTTTCGTTCTCTCTCTCGTTCTTTCTTTCGTTCTGTCTTCCTTTCTTTCTTTTTAGATACAGTTTCCGATGGAAAACATTGTTTTCTTACGGATTCTCTTTCATTTCCTTAGGATCTGATTGTTTTTCCTCGGGAAAACACGATTTTCCTACGGATTCCGTAGTATTTCCATAGGTTTTCCTTTGTTTTTCCTGGGAAAAACATTATTTTTCTATTACCTATGGCGTTCGTGTCATTCCTTCAGGTTTTCAGAAGGGAAACATATTTTTTCTTTGGTTGTTCCTCGGGAAAATCAGATTTTTGTTACAATTTCGCATTTAGGACGGATTTCGTTGTTGTTGTAGCTGTTGCTGGGATTCCGCTTCATCACCGATCTTAAACACACCCCCTCATTTGGCGATTCTGGGGGGTTGGGGGGGGCGCAGCCCCCCCCCCATTTGCAGACACAACGCTCACATGATGGGCTTCGAAAACACTCTTTGAATCAAGCTTGCACGGCTCGAAAAGTGCGGCGGTGGGTCTTTCGTTCTTCCGTGCCTGTTCGTGTCTCTTCTTCCGCTAGCACTCTAACATAATATAACATAGTAAACCATAAGAACGGCATAAGATGGCTCGACATCACAAAAATAGTGTGACATTTTCTGACATAACAGAACCTTGCTTCTTATAGCATACAATAACATAATAAAAGACGACAATACAATGTAACAGAAGATAACATAGAACAAACCAACATCTTAGTTAATTTCTGTCCTTTCGTCTTTCTTTATTTCTCTATTTGTGTTATTTCCTTATGTCTTTATTGTTTGTTTTTCTGTGATTTTTAACTCTCGTTCGTCCTTTCCTTGTGGTTTCTTTTTCTTTCCTTATAGCTTTCTTTATTTACCTATTTCTGTACTTTTGTTTTCTTTCTTTCCTTATAGCTTTCTTTATGTATTTCTATCTTTCTTGCTTTCTTGCTTTCTTTCGTTCTTTCCGTCTTTCTTTCTTTCTTTAAGTCGTTCTTTCTTTCTTCCTTTCTTCCTTTCTTTCTTTCTTTCTTTCTTTCTTTCTCTCTCTCTCTCTCTCTCTCTCTCTCTCTCTCTCTCTCTCTCTCTCTCTCTCTCTCTCTCTCTCTCTCTCTCTCTCTCTCTCTCTCTCTCTCTCTCGGGCATAGGGGTCGATCAAGACCCCCGGGCATCTTGCCCACCCGATATGTTTTATCGGGATTTTTGGGGGGTGAAATCAAATGTAGTCCTCGGTGTAAGCTTAAGCCATTCAAGTATACGATATCGGATTACCAAGGACCTACATTTGTTTTTGAAACATGCACAACTTGGGCGTCCCCCACTTTCCTTAAGCAACCGCGGTATGACTACATACAAAAGAGAGTTTCGGGGTCCACCACTGTGTTGCTGCATCCCCCGCTCTGCTTTACGCATTAGCGAATTATTGACGTCTCTCGCTTTTCGGGGACTCACTCTAAAGGCAACGCAGTAGTTCGAGCAAGTATGTGAAACATCTAATCATCCACACGTTTGTCCCCCTTTCTCACGTCACCAAAGAAGGAAGTATTGCTCAATAGTTTCCATCACACAGCTTCCCATTCCGAAATACGCATTTTTGCCCTCCCATACAAGCTGTATAACCAATAGGCACAAGCTGATGTGATGATGCAAAAGTTTCACAGTTCACTCAAAGCTACAGTCGTTCTGTGCTACGGGAGAATTTGTCGGCCTCACGAAAACTACAGCTGAAGTATGTATCACAGTATGACCGATGGTTCCCCCGATTGGAGGCTACAGCTGCTTTGTGCAGTTTTCGGTGGTTTGGCGTGCCTACGGGAGTCACAAGCAACTTTGGTAGGAGTGTTGCATCAAACAACCTAACAAACGTAGGGGACCATACTTCACGGTACTACGACTCCCAGTAGTGTGCTTGCCTGCCTAGCCTGCCTAGCAAATGGCGCGGTGGATTTCAGGGCAGGTCGAGGTACAAAGAGTTAAGGTAGGAATCCCCCGCATCATTTACTGGACAGTTGGAGGTCTTGACCTTTGGCTAAGCTTGAGGTTTTTGGAGTGCCCGGTCTCTGCAAGGTAACAAACAAACATAAGGTTAGCTCCTCAAAACATCACAAACATCAACACATTCCCCTGCAAAGACCTTTCCCCCTTCATCCCTCAAGGCCTGTACTTGCTTTCCCCGCTCACCGAGGTCGCCTCTCACACTGGCCCGTGCCGGTCATGGAAGGCACCATGTAGGCGGCGTCGACGGTGTTCCGCCGGGCTGCTTTCGTTACTCGCGTAGTTCTCTGTCGGCGAGTGAAGGTTTTGCGCCGCATTTCCAAGGCCATGGTGCCGTTCACGTACCCACCATGGTACCATGCCATCTGAAGAACTCGCTCCCCCGACTTGGTGGGCTGCGTCGCCACCAACTTGCTGTGCAGGTACTCCCCCGGCATGCCCCCGACGTTCATCTGAATCGGCTTCTTGAGGGGCTCCCCCGCCAGGAGGTAGGACAGGTTGTAGCGCTTGTTCAACCGCCTCCAGCGATGCTAGAAGGGCCGCATGGATGCTGTTTAGGTCCTCCCCCGGCCACTCATGGAGTTGTTCACGGAGCGCTTGTAGTTCCAAGCAAATCCCACGAGCTCGCTGTTGGCGCCGTTCACGTGCCAAGTGGGACTGTATGACATATATGACTCCCCGGTTTGCAGCGATGACGTCTGCGGGGTGCGCAACAGCTTCCCCGGCCTCGACCGCGGCAAGGTAGGAGGTCACGTCCACGAGTTGTAACCAGTACTCTCTGTTGCTGGGCTCAGACTGTACACCTTGAAGTGCTCCCCCCATCAGCCGGAGGACGCTCGCGGTGTTTTGGATGCCCGCATCATAGTCCTGGTATTCCCCCGCAGCTCTCCAGTTTTGCGGTTCCCCACGAGTTGCCGTTGCCATCGCGTGCATGTGGCCATTTAGCCACTCGAGAACGATGTCAATGTCGTGCTGTATGTCATAGTACGTAATATAGATGTGGTTGTCGGCGGAAGCCAGTCGCTGCATTGCTTTTGTTTTGATGTGGTGTAGGGCTGCAGCTGTTTTGCTGTGGGTCTTGTCGACCCGTGGTTTCTTGGCGTGGGGCTCGTCCGGGTTGAGGTGCGGTGTTCCCCCGGTTTCTATCTCGAGATGTCGTAACACCTCGGCTTCTGTTTGACTGTCGACGATCAAGTCGGCTAGTGCACACTGAGCCATGTGCGCCACCATTGTCCCCCCTGGCAGCTGCTGTGACAACCTGTAGATTCGTGTAAGGTAGTGCTCCAGTCGTTCTGCCGTAGTGCTTGGGAGAGCTTGCTCGAGGTTGTGGGGCGCGGCTTGTGGTACGGGTTCGGGAGGTTGCTGCGGTGTGTTGCGGCTGTCTGGCACGGTCTGTTGTGGGTTTGGCGCGGAGGCGCTCCCCCGTTGCTGTGGTACTGCTGCTCCGTGCTGGGGAGTTGTGATGGTCTGCCGCTGCATCATATCCATGGTGTCAGCTTCGTCGTGGACCGTGGTCTTGGGGCTCGTGGTGGACGTGGGTGGGGTAGCTGCAGTGCTCGTGGTGGTTTCCACGGTGGTTGTGCTTGATGTGGTCGTGCTTGTGGTGGGTGTCGTGGTTGTGCCTGTGGTCGTGGTGGTGGCGGCTGTTGCTTTGGCTGCTGCCTTCTTTTTCTTTCCCCCGATGTCTCTGCCGTCGCGAACTTGTGCAAAGGGGTACACTAGCCACTCGAAAATTGCCCCCCAATAGCAGGGGGCCTTTCAGCACAATGGCCACGGAGTAGCGCATGCTTCACCGGCCATGTGCAGCCACTCTAGCAAACAGACAGGCTTCGTTCTGTTTAGCTTCAGAGGAAAACCCTTCGACGTTTTCTAGCGAAACACCTTCGATGTTTCACGCAGGGATACTAGCGCTAGCATACACGGTCGTACCTCGTCCCTCGGCACGAGTGCGTCTGAGGCCTGTGGTTGTCGGGGGGTGGTGGGTTCAGATTGTTGTGGATGTGGTTGTGTTGCCGGTTGCTCCCGGTCTCGTTGTGGTTGTTGTTGTTGTTGTTGTTGTTGTTGTTGTTGTTGGGTTAGCCGCTATGGATCACAGCAGGCTGTGTAGCTTTGCTAACAAGGCTCTGGGTACCAACGCTAGAGGCTCGCAACGGCCCCCTTCTGCGAAGCTTAAGGGACTGTCCTCTTACTGAGCCATAGCTATCCCCGGAGTCGCGTGTCGCTGTGATCCATCGGGTCCCAATTCCCGGGCCTCTGTCTGCAGTTATACAACTTTGGCAAGAGGTAAGCGGTGGGGTTCTCGCCTTTCCGCGAGGTGAAGGGAGTCGGATCGAGTTCTCTCTTTCCGGCGAAACTAGCGGACGGCGCCAACGCCAATGCGCCAGCATTCCTTTGAGAGCATTCGCAAGAAGGCCTTTCGCAAGGCTTGCAATAGGGTACATAGAACACAGGAAAGCATTCCGTACAGGAACGGCGTGCTGACGCCTGAGCATCTGCGTCGCAGTGGACTTACCCCCCCCTCCCCTCCCCTCCTTCCTGTACAGCCTAGTTCCACGGATCCTTCGGCTCCCTCAGGCCCCACAGACAGCTTCCGCTCACGCCCGAGAGGTGGACGTGCCAGTAAGTCGCTTCGTGTCCTCTCATGGAACCCTGATCCCCTTGGCATGCAACAATGGGCAGAAGTGAAGACATGGCTTCGAACGGAGGCCCAGTATATCTGTGATATTCTAGTCCTGCAGGAGACGCACTGGAGCGAAACAGCAGAGTTTGACGTTGAGGGTTGGCACTGCATAAGCTCTGCCACCAAAGGAGCTGCTCGGGCACCCAAAGCCAAATCAGCTTCAGGGCAACGCTCAGCGCGAGGTGCTGCATCGCAGCCGGCGATACATGACACTGGTCGTGCAGATGGGGTCATGGTCCTTCTTTCTCCCTTGATAGACAAGAAAAAGATTCGATGGCGTGAACAGCGCCGTGGCAGACTCATCCAGGCCACTTTTCCGTGGCTAGGAGCTCGAATTCATGTCTTTGCAGTCTATCAACATGCGTGGTCTTCTAAGAAGACTCCTCAGCAGAACAAGGAAGATCGCTCGCGTCTGCTTCGCGACCTGTCCTCATCCATCCGAGCCATTCCGGCTAGGGACACTTTTCTGCTGGCAGGTGACTTCAACGCACGCTTGACCCCGCAGGAAGGTCTGGTAGGTCGGTGCAGCACTAAGCAAGAGCACTCCCAAATGCAGGATGAGCAGTTCCAGGCCTTGGTTTCCTCTCACAGACTGGTAGCGCTCAACACTTGGTCCTGCGGCACTGGACACACCTTCTTTCTGAACGGAAAGGGCTCACAGATTGACTTTTTGCTGACTTCTGAGGCCTCAGCGAAGGGGCTGGCCAAACGGTCTGGGCCACGTCAGGACCTGCAACTTGGTCGGTGGAAGCGTGGAGGCCATCTGCCTGTTTTCGCTCAGCTCCGCCCTACCCAGCAGGGCATGTCTTTTTCTTGACCCCCTAAGTCTTTTTTTTGACCCCCGATCGTTTTATTGACCCCTGAACATCTGCATTCTGACCCCTTTACCACTTCTTTCTGACCCCCGTATCTTTGGTTTGACCCCTACTGTCTTGATTTTGACCCTCCTGTAGCCGGGCAGGCCAGAGCCTAAACAAGTAAGCCCCCCACCACAGGCTACAATATCTGGAGAATTTCACCCCTCCTTACACAAAATACTGATTCCAAGACCTTGCTAAGCACCGTCCCGGGTCCAAACACAATGCTTGTAAAAAGGCTTCATGGGGGAACGTCATTGATTGGCACAGGTTCGCATGTTGGGATGCCCCTGTAACTCTTCCAGGCATTCCTGCGGGTTCGCTTCATTCGCACAGGCTCGCATGCAGGGATCGGGCAGGTTAGCGTGCCTTCCCCAGACAGGGGTTTTCTGCGGGGCTAAGGACGACGCTCGAATAGGTAATGTCCGGGCTGGGTTCACTGGTGGGGACTTGCAAACCCGCTGAAACGCTTGGGGGGCGCTTCTTCCACGGGTTCGCTTCACTCGCACAGGCTTGCACAATGGGATGTCCGTGATTGGTGATGGCACAGCATTGGTCTCGGGTACGTACGTATATAGGTTCGCGCGCGGACAGCTGTTGTGGCACGAGGCGCAGCTGAAGCCTGCGGACTCTGATCGTGCTATTGATACCAACGGCCAAACGACGTCGCACAGGGCAGCACCCGTCGGAGAACGGCAACTGGTTCTGGGAAGATGTTAGATCTTTATATGATGCTTCGTCGAGCCTTGATCTAGGCCACATGTCTGGCTGTCCTGCTTTCCATGTTCAGCTGGATGGGCGGTGCCACCAAGAGGGCTCTGATTTTCTTTTGACGGGTACTTTGTTGGCCACTTGGTTTGAGACTTCCGAGCGTTCCGACCCTCGTGGGCACAGGGTCTAGCATCGTCTCGTCCTGGCGTGGTGGCGGTATCAGCTCCCTGCCAACCATGGAGCTCTGCCGCATCTTCAAGAAGGCTACATGATACGGAAGGTTACTTATTACTGCATACATTCGCAATCATGGCTGCCTTGCAGCCCGACATCATCTTGTTGGAGCCGGTTGAACTCCGAGGCAAAGGCCTTGGACTGATGGAGTGCCCCTGATTCTTGAGTCAAAACCCTGACAGATCTTGAACTTCGAGGGTGGGGCCTTGGGTTGATGGGGCGCCCCTGATATCGGGTTTAGCGGGTTTATCGGGTTTATCGGGTTTAGCGGGTTTATCGGGTTTATCGGGTTTAGCGGGTTTATCGGGTTTATCGGGTTTAGCGGGTTTATCGGGTTTAGCGGGTTTATCGAGTTTATCGGGTTTTCCGGGTTTATCGGGTTTATCGGGTTTAGCGGGTTTATCGGGTTTATCGGGTTTAGCGGGTTTAGCGGGTTTATCGGGTTTAGCGGTGCGCGTCCGCTGTTTGCGCGCGCAGTGGGAATTTCGTTGCCCAGCGGGCAAATGCTGACTTGCTTCGGCTTGCAGAGGCCACAGACCAGCTGACGGTGGCAAAGGTCAAAGCGCACCAAGAAGTGGCATCAATGAGGGCAGCATCTCGTGAGGAGCAGTGGCGGGCAGCAGGTAACATTGCGGCCGACCTGGCTGCTAAACAGGCGGGACAACCTGCCGGAGCTCCTGAGACAATCAGCGGATGAGGCGGCGGCTCATTGTCAACAGGAAGGCCAGCTACTCAAACAGTATTGCCAGGCCGTGCTGGACGTTGATGTCTTGGACAACCAGCTCCGCACAGCTGCTGAGTCGCAGGCTGTTGCTTGAAAGCTCATCACGGAGCAGGATGCTGTGCGCAACTTGGAGCTACGACTACAAAACTGGCAGATCCCTTTACCTGGTGCACAGGTGCTTCCCCCTACTTGGGAGGTGCCCTCACAAACTTGGCAGGTTGCTTACCTTGAGCTCCTTGCCCACTTTGTGTGGACCACATGGCAGCCCCCACTAATCGAGCCACCAAGTGGAGCTCAGCAGAGGTAATTACGAGCCAGTGGATGCGGCTTGTGCCCGACTGCTTCCATGTCACCGTTCAGGGGTTGTGGCCTATTCTGCAGTTGCGGCGATGTGTACCTGGCTTTGCACTACCAGCAGCGGAAGTTTCAGATGTCCCCCACTTGCAAGCCTTTGGTCTGCGACCGGCTGTAGGTCTGAATGCAAGGCCGGGCTTTGGACAAACAGATTGGATCCCTTTTCTGCGAGAGTTGTGTACGGATGCGGCAATGGAAGTCTTGATTCGTGCATGCCGTTTACCTTGAGCCAATTGCGCTTTGAGGTGTTTCTTCTCACCAGGGACAGAGCAGCGGATCTTTCGTGGGTGCTGAGGTGTCGCAGTTTGCATGCTTCATGTGTGCTTGCTGCTGGCTTTCTGCATTCATACAACGGTAACGGTTCGCGCGCGGACAGGGGTTTTCTGTGGGGGCTAGCCCCTTCCCCCTTTGCAAAGCCGCTGAAAGGATTCGTCGTAAGGACAATGCTGAAACAAGGAATGTCCGGCGTGGGTTTCGAATGGGTTCGCAGGATTTGCACAGGTTCGCATGGCGGGATGTCCATGGGTGGTGATGCACACCATAGGTTGCCGCGGGCAGTTCCAGTTCCGGCCGGTGCATCCCCCTTTTCCATTTGCAAGCACAGTGCTCGAACTACGGATTGTGGGGGTTGCTGGGTGGGCAGCCTCTTCTAAGAAGAGGCAGGCATTCG